TTACCCTCTGACCCATGCTTTTACTGCCTCTGATTAAGTTAGGCGGTAATAGAAGAGCCCCACCAGGACATTTACACTAGCTGTAATGCTATAGGCTATGTATGACTGCCAGTTTTAGTCAAGGAGCATTCCATGAGATCTAATTATGCTTCTACCACACTGGATTTTTCGCTCGAGGTAGAGACGTGTAATCACATAGCAAGCAGCTTAGATTAGAGCTTGATGTCTCCTTTGTGTGGGTGATCGCCCTCAGATATCTCGACTCCCATCAAAACAGAATAACTAAACTTCTGTCTTTCATTGGTATGCCCAAGGAGTTTGCCGCAAACCTGTTTAGATTGCATATATGATAAAATTGCATAAACATTTTGGCCAAGTCTTTGTTCTTCCAGTCTGTCCTTAAAGGAACACTTTCCTTCAAAATAAAAATTCTGTCATCTGTTATTCACTCTCACGCCGTTCCAGACCTGTACGACATGTAAGAAATATTTTTAAAAAAATGTGCTGGACACATGCAGTTACAATGAATTGAGACAAGAGCTTTCAAGTTTCAAAAATAGTGGTTCCTATGATACTTTTGAAACCAAGATTTGAATCATTAGTCACTGACAATCTTCACCTCAAGTGAGCTGTTAACCACTGCAACCAAATCACTGAACAAGTGAGATGAACTTACGAACTGGATCATTTCACTTTTCAAATGAATCGTTCCGAATTAACTGATTCATTAGAACGATTCATTCACAAATTTAGTCACTGTTACTTCTTTCAGAAACTTTTAAATGATTTCGTCATTTGGATGACTTTTTTGATGATTTATGGTGCTTTTGCATTCTTGAAAGCTTCAGTTCCTGTTCATTATAACTGCATGGAAAAAATCTTCAAACATTCTCCTTTAGTGATCTGTAAAAGAAAGGTTACATAATGTTAAATAAATGAAAACAGAATTTTACGGATGAAAGATTCCTATACTCTATAAGTTAATGCTCTTCGAAACATGACCTGTTCTCTAGTCTCAACAACATTATCTATTGCACTATGCTGAAAAACAAGCAGGTTAGCATGATGTTGCAAACATGTCCAAGCTTTATGTTGCAAAACATCCCTGTCTATTTCTTTTCTCGGAGCTCAGGTCCAGGTATCATCGAGCACCATTGTCAGGCGGAAGCAGCCATTAGCGGCATTAGCGCACATAGCCCTTTGCAGTTCGTTTTCTAAATCATCCATGCGACGACAAAGCCCCAGCTCTGCTCACCAAATAATAGGACTCAGAGAATGGGAATACTAGAGCTGGCCAGGTGCACTGCGCTTCCCTATCTCCCCTCGGAGCTAATGGACCAATATGGGACAATGGAAATTGATTCAAGCTAGTCAGTAAATTAAGAATTCACCGCTTTCATTTTGTGTGCGTGTGTTGGGGGATGTATTGTTTATTGGAATTCGAATTTCATAGGTAATTGGGGGTGTAGAAAATGTAAACAAAATGCTGCTTTGCTTTTTTTCATGTCAATGAAACTCACTATTGTCCTTCGGTGCTGTGCGTCTCTAGACAGTAGGCAGAGAAAGTGACAACTGTGTAATAGAGGTAATTAGACACTAGTGCAGAGATTCTTAATTCCTGCAAGAATGATATGAATTCTGTTTTATATATATATATAATTTTTTTTTTATTTTACAGAGCAGTTTCTTTAAAAAAAGTATTTTTTAGACTTTTAATAAATATATTGTCTCAAGAATGAGAATCTATGCTATAGTGTTCAATTTGTCTAATACAGTTTATTTTCATTTTCTATAGTGTCTAATACATGTATAATAATAATAATAATAATAATAATAATAATAATAATAATAATAATAATAATAATAATAATAATAATAATAATAATAATAATAATAATAATAATAATAATAATAATAATAATAATAATAATAATAATAATAATAATAATAATAATAATAATAATAATAATAATAATAATAATAATAATAATAATAATAATAATAATAATAATAATATCATGCTGCAAATTGCCAATAAGGTCCAGCATTAAAGTTGATAGTGTGCATCTGCTGTTATATCCATCTTGGATCTGTATTTGGTCTAAATTAAATATATTTATGTAAGTAATTATATATATATATATGTATATATATAATTACTTACATAAATATATTTAATTTAGACCAAATACAGATCCAAGATGGATATAACAGCAGATGCACACTATCAACTTTAATGCTGGACCTTATTGGCAATTTGCAGCATGACACACAAGCTCAGCCCTCACTTTAGACAGGGTGAGTGCCAATGAAACTGCCCAGATCTTTTGAGTCAATATCATTAAAATCGACTAAATAGTAAAATGTGTTGTTAATCTTAATAACATAATTTGCTGGTTACATAATTACACCTATGAGATTCAAAAGTGTATTGATTAATTCTGTGAGAAATAAGCACAAATTTCGGGAGTTAAAAAATGGGTCAAACTAGACTCTTGCTGAGCGAAATGTGCTCAGATGTGAATTTCAACATTTTAAAACAGCATGCAAATGTATGGATGTAATTCAAGGTTCTGTGTGTTACATCATGTCCTTGGTACTACAGGACTTCTACATTATAGAAACTGTTCAGAAATGCATAAAGGATGGGTTTTTTGACATGAAATGTAAGCCTCAAAATTAAGAATTCTCTATGTAAAGTAAAATACAGAGAACTGAAAAGAAGCCATGTTTTTTTTTTATATATAATTATTTCAGTACAGAATAATCTGCTTTGGCATAGTGTGGATTTTGCCTAGTATTGGCTGCAGCAGGTCATCTTTTATTACCTGAAAATAGCCAACAAGCATAACATGTCAGCTCCACACACCCACAGACCCGGGTCTCTAAAGCCAAACGTTTAAGGCTAGAGGTGAGAAGGGTTATCAAAACTCTCCTCAAATGGATTCCATGCTTTTTCACAGGTTTTCTAATCTTTCCATATGGGTGGTTTAAAGTGATGTCCATGCGTCTGCGTGCGCATCGGTGGAAAGAGATTGTAGTAATCCATGGGTGTAATCTGAGGTACAAGTGGCCGTGAGGGAGTTTATGAGGACAGTCCACAGAATGCTAAGGCCAGGCTGGAGTCTGAACGACAGATAACACAAACTTAAGCTTGTAGAACCCCAGAGAAGCTCAAGCATGGATAACACACCTCAAAGTACTGCGGAAGCGGACACTTTTTAGTAGGGATGCACCGATACCACTTTTTCCAGTACTCGCCCGATACCGATACTTTTATTTTTGGTACTT